AGGCTATATTTTTTACTATTAAATACTTAGTATAGTATATTTGGTATACACTATACTTAGTATAAATAAATATATGATATTTATATACACTTTTGTGCAGGATCTTAATTTCCCAGAATGCATGAACTGTGTTGAATTTCTTTGAATTCAATCAATTCCTTGTGCTGTCATTCCAGTTCACATTTCAGTTCAACTTCCTGTTAGGTGTGGCCAATTCGATTTAAATTCACACTCATGAACTGAAAACCAATTCTTAAATTCTGAATTTTGCACAACGCAGTCTACAAAACGCTCATATGGTATGTCACAGTCTTCCAGTGAGTCTCATTCAAGCACTGCTGTGGATGACAGGCATCGCTGTGCCAGGAACCCACTGTGGCACGCTGCTGATGTGTTTCCTGTATGGCACTGGCCTCTAGACACAGAGATGGCTTTCTCATTTTGTCCTTGACTACAGATTATAGGGAAACAAGTGCCAGGCCGCAGCATGAAACGCCTAGCAGAGAAACAAAGACACTGCTGGAGACATTTGGAGAAACCATGTCAAGAGCATGTGCATGTCTGATCTCTCAAAACATACATGAGTATAAATGTACAAAAAGATCTTCTCCAACATGCTATTTTCCATATTTCTGCATATCTCATTGATATTAAAGCAACACTGCAAGATATTTTCAACATAAGATCTATGGACCGCGTCTTTAGCCTGCTTTCAATTGCAGCAGACAGTACAAACAGGAAACATCTTTACAGTAAAACACTTATAGTAAAGTTTGCAGCACAGGAAATAATTCAAATATACAACTTTCAAAAGCATAAACAAACCACATTAAACATGTTAGCATGAAACTGATGATAGAATCACTTACCATGCAACGTTAAATCCAATCTTTAGCTAAAACAGCAAAACTAGTTACCTTTGCTTGTTACCTGGCTGTATGGGTAACAGGAAGGGACATAAAAGGTGATTTAACTGAGTGAAGACTAATGTTTACATGGAGCAGACTCCGCCCACAGGAAGTTCATCAACCCAGAAAAGTGCTTTAGGAAACTGCAAATCTCATTTAAGTGCTTTAACAAAATGATGAGCTTCACATTTATGTTTTTAAACCCTCTGACCTGCCAACCAGCTAGGCTAAGTGTATTTAGTGTAAACAGGTTTTCCATTCATTTAAAGACGTTTCTTCAACTACATATCAACTTACCATTCACTCTGTGATGAAAATGATGGTGGTGGAAATGTTTATTTTTTTGTTTCTTTATTTTGTAAACATTTTTGTAAAAAATGCTTAGCTAGCATGTTATGTATCTCAAATACACACATTTAGATTTTTTATTTAATTATTATTTATTTATATTTGTACATTAATTATTTAATTTAATTATTTAATGCAAGTAGAATTATAGAGTGGATTCAAATAATTTTACGTAACTAGAAAAACAGCTTATTTTGACAAACTTTGTATGTTGGCTTGACAAAGTGTACCAATATTTAATTATTATTTTATTTTATATAAAAAAATAATAATAAAATACTTTTTTCTTTTTTCTTTTTTTTTACATTATTTTGGGGAACAATCATAATTTGTGAGAAAATGTAAAGTATAAATCACTTTCAAACAGTTAATACTGAAATTTAATTTAGAAGCTCATGATTATTTCACTCTTTAGATTACCATAATCAAATATATATAATAATATTTTAGCATTTTCATATTTTAAGATAAATGAAACAATAAAAGCTACATAAAACTCTATTCTATATATAAAATAGAACCAAAAGTAATGAAGGCATGGAAAAATTTTATGTAACGCAAAGAAAAAATCTGTTAGTTTTAATACAAAAAGATAAAAACCTCAGGGACATAAAAATGCCTGTTTTTGTCTGCGGTAATTGACAGCAGGCCACACATGTTGCATATAGCCATTAAGTTGAAAATAACCCTTACATTTCCTTGAATTGGGATGGTTTCCATTATTTTGTTGAACTCCTAAGTTGTAAAACATGAAGACAACATCCAAGTATGATGTAGTAGGTTAGTCTGTACCGGTCTGACCACACTGAGATCATAATGAAATAGTAGCTCTCTATGGGGTGTGTCCCTCAGAAATCCACAGCATACTGTGATCTGCAAGACAAAATGCTTTTTTGTCATTTTAATTGATGAGTTACTATCAATACACATTTGCATTGACACTTTTTAAAGGATAGTGCACCCAAAAATGTAATTTTGTGATCATTTACTGACCCCCTGTATAGTATTATTATTTTCTGTGGAAATTTTTGAAGAATGGTTATGCAGCTCTTGCAGTAGCCTACATCTCTCCTTAAATAATCTCCACATATACAAACTTAATTCACATGCTCCGAATAGCCTCTTTTCTGCAAGATATCGACTGGAGATTGCTTGTTGCATTGCTGTAAATAACAATTAGAGACATTTGTGCTCACACAACCGGATTGCTGTCATGCTGCGCGCTTGCATCTGAGCGCTAAACCTATCAGTCGACATAGCAGCCGATGGGGGATTCCTGTTTGGATGTGTGATATAGGTCACCAGCAAAGCCGTGTGGAGCACCAGCCACTCAATATGGTTCGGTACGTGTCGTTTTGTCCATGACCCACTTGCAGATCGAAGGAACACAGTGTTCCCCTATCGCTCCAGTTGCTATAGTAACAAGGCGGGAGAGAGACGCAGGCCGTGGACATCATTTATGCTGTCAGGCAGGGATGTGAGCAAGAGGAGAGTGACAGAGGAATAGAGATGGCGAACACACAGAGATCAATACATCTACATGGGTGTAGATTTATGAAATCCCATGAGGGGAATCCAGAACTCCCATTCATAAAAAAAGGGGGGAAAAGGAAAACCACAGTCGCACATGCCAATTAGCGCTTCAACCAAAAGAGACTTTTCTGCCAGTGGAGAGAAGTAAAAGCAGCCATACATATAAATTAAGGCTTTTCCACTCATCTGAATGGGGCAGAGCAGTTAGGACCAAGATCTAAGCCCCAGGACGGCCGAATGCTTAACCCTGTAAAGCTTGACATATGAAATAATAGCCAGAAAAATCTATTTGTTGAACCTTTAAATCAAATATTAAAATTTGCATATGTGTTTTTTGATGTATCATGCCTTTATGGCTCATATAGTGAGAATATGGAGCTCATACTCGAGGTGAAAAATAAAAACGGAGCTTACGCTTCGCCGCTGGAACGCCACTCTTTCGTGAATGCGCATACGACAGTTAGCGGAAGCTAGAGATTATGGTTTATAAAGTTTGAAATATGGATATTTTTCTTACAAAAAAGCATTGATATGCTTCAGAAGGCCTTTATTAACCCCTGGAGCCATGTGGAGTACTTTTTACGAAGGATGGATGCACTTTTTTGGCCTTCAAAATCTCGACCACCATTCACTGCCATTATAAAGCTTGTAAGAGCCAGGACATTTTTAAATATAACTCCGATTGTATTCGTCTGAAAGAAGAAAGTCATATACACCTAGGATGGCTTGAGGGTGAGTAAATCATGGGGTAATTTTCATTTTTGGGTGAACTATCCCTTTAAGATGTCTAAACTTGAGGATATATAGTATGGTTGAGTTTGATGGGATAGATCCAGTGGATAAATGTTCTCGTGAGTTCAAACCCCACTCCTGGTAGGACTAATTTTTGTAGGTTTGAACCACACTCTTCCTAACACACAACCAGGATGGCCGAGTGGTTAAGGCGTTGGACTTAAGATCCAATGGACAAATGTCCACGTGGGTTTGAACCCCACTCCTGGTAAAAGCAAATATTTAAAAGACAGTATATTTGTACAATGAAACGCTCATCAGACCTGTACAGGTGAGTTTGATGGTATTACAATACAAATATCCAGGACAAAATGCCAAACCATGTTCCCAACGGATGTGACCAGGGTGGTTAAGATGTTGGACTTGAGATCCAATGGACAAATATTTGCATAGGTTTGAATCCCACTCCTGGTAGAAGGAAACTTTTAAAAGACTGTAATAATTGTGTGTTTATACAATGAAACACTTGGTTGGGTTTGATGGCATCACAACCCAAATGTGGACTAAAAGGAGCTTTCAAGGTTCAAAAAAGATGTCATGAAAAATGGTTGTGTTGTCACAAAAATGGGTGAAGGTTTACCTCACGAATTTTATATTTATTTATACAGAAGACACTCATTATCCAAAGTGAGTTGCAAATGTGAAATGCAAGAAGCAGCAAAAACATGCCTTAACATAAAAATAGCTGTACATCAGTAGATGTACCGTATATATTAGGAATGGGCAACATTTGTTTGCATTTGCTTTGCATTTCACTGCATATCAACGGATATGAAGCACTTTAATCCATGTCTAGCAAACAAGCCATATTTTCCGGTTTAATCTTCATGTACTCTTTGTGGATTTCAGCGTATACTGATGTTGTCACTTTTCATCCTTCTCACATGGATTTTCTGAATACATTTGAATGTAATCACTGCGGGGCTCACACCAGGTCTGATGGTGAACTGCTTACCATGCATCCTCTCTGGGAAGGAAGTCTCGTCCCACCGGAATACTGATCAGCTACACTGCACCTGTTGTCTATGCTGAGACATCATCTTTATGGCTGATTAGAGTGGTGATTATTTCCTGATAGGGTGGACCGTTGGGTTTGCTGGGGCTGGTTCCACCGCAGCTCATTAGAAGAAGGCCAGTGAAGTCTTACTAAGCAGAAAGGTTGCAGAAGGTTTGGACTGCAAAGTGCAACCGGCAGCAAAAACAGAAGAGAGAGAAGAATGAAATTTTTGATATGACAGTTTCATAATTGTTCTTTAATCTTCTGCCTTTCTGACATTTTTTGATACAGTCTTGTAGAAAAACCTTCATCTGTGCCTGCAAAGGGGACATATTCTATAATTTTAATATAATTTTAAGAGTTTTAATATACTACCTTTCTAGAAGTCCACTTAAATTGTTGATCAAAGTTTATTTTTATTTTTTTTCACAGTTGCCATTTAGTTTGCATGAGCTTTTTTTTCTTCCTTTTTTCCTATTTGACTGTTATAATTCCAAAAATATTTGGGAAGATTTATTTATGTTGAACAGAAAGAAAAAAATTATGAATTATATAATTTTATTTGTTAAACTTTATATAAACAAAAGCAAAAAGACATTTATGGTTGAATTTTGAATGTTGCTGACTCTCTTAAATGCATTGATAATAAAAAATCTAGATATACAATTCATGCTAAAAAACTAAACCAATTTAAGAGTAAAAATATGAATCTGCTGTCATTATTTTACTTCAATTTATTTGTTTATTTTTGTATATTTTGTATTATATTATTTGTAAATTCTGTGTTTCTGTGTCTAGCATTTAACTAAAAGCTTAATTTCATAAATCAGGAATGATAACGTATGTCTGCAAAGAACATCAACATCTTTTACTTGTATTCTATCCAAAGCAGCTCTCTCAATACTGCATTCAAGCTATGCATTTGATCAATTCCTGTGAAATGAATCAGTGACCTCAGCATTGCTAGCAGCATGTTCTACCAGCTTCAAGAAAAAAAGGAGCATAGAAAAGCCACCATACAACCTTTTTAACGAAGAATAAATTATGTTTTTCTTGAGCCTGAAGCTGCACAGTCTACACAGTTGGAGGGCGTAAGGTGGGCGGTGCAAAAACTACATGTCATCCTCAAAACAGCTGTAAATGAAAGCTAAGGCTATAATCAGAGAGTCTTACTAATTAATGAAACATGAAGGCAAAAAGGACCCCAAGCAGATTGTGACCTCAAACCTCCTCTGTCTTTATGAACTCTCAGTGTAAACACCAACTATGCACAGCATGACACTTTTCTGGGGTTTAGACTGAAGGGCATCCTTGGATAGCACACAGACACATGGTGAATCACCTCCGCACCCATCCAGTGGGGTTTCTAGGGATGAGTCATCCTCATTAATGGTCGGCTGTTCGGGAACATCCGTGCAGCCGCAGAAACGCTCATGCACGCTCCATCTTAGGCGGGATTCCCCTCTCCACATGCCTAACAGAACCCCAGCAGTCAAGCAGTGCAGAGGATGGAGTCCAGCGACATTGACGTTTCAGATAGTTAATCTGCACGATGAGTCATCGACCATATGGGTTGGTCACACGCACATACTCAACCGCTATTGCAAGGCAGAGAAGAACTGTGCAATAATAAGAACATTCAATCAAAGGTTAATGCCATGCATATTTTTATTCAAGATACATACCTTGCCACATCTGCAATAGTAGCTGTCATTTTTCACACATTACCAGCACATATATCATCAGAGAAGTCAATAAGCATTTAGATGGGCTGGTTTCGCAGAGCTATTATTCTGCTGCGGCTCCTTGACATCATTGACATTGAGCTTGTCCCGGCTAATGCTTCCCCATCTGTAATGATAACACGTCTGAAAGGTTTTGAATGAGAAGACACATTTGTCTTTTGCATGACATATTTCATTATCTGTCCAGACCAACCAATATGACACCAAATGCTGGCAAGCTCCTGGGAAGAGCATTGCATTAAAATTAACATCACATGCAAACATGCAACATAACTTAATGAAAATATTAAAAAAAATTCAAAGTTTGAGTGAGGGATAGGTTTATATAAAGTTTATATCATTTTATGTTATAATATATAGCTTCATAATATACAGGTGCATCTCAATAAATTAGAATGTCATGGAAAATCCCCACATATGTAATATAGGAATACAAACCCCTTAAAATAAAAAGTAATTGTGAAAATAATAGATTAAAAATGAGAGAGTAGATTTATAATAATAATAATAATGAGCATGTGAAAAATAAACCAAAAATTGTGTTAATGTATTTTATATGTAATTGTATTAAAAATTCTAGAAACATTGTAAATACAAATTAAATGCATCCATGAATTTTAGAGCCAGTGCTTCTAAAGCGGTTTAGATGATCTAGGAAACAGAATGTAGAAATGTCCAATGACATATGCATGCATGTAAAGCACTGTACACATAAACCAGTGTTTGCTGTCTCAGCATGTGTTGCATCACTGCTTTGGCCTATTTAAAGAAGCTTCACGCAGTTCTGCTGTCTAACAAAATGACCTGTGCTCTCACATCATCAGGGATATAGACTTCAACCAAAAACAACCATGACTACTAGCTCATCACCACGGCAACCCGACTCATTGAGCTGCAGAGAGCTAGCTCACCTAATGAGGGATACAGAGTGTTCCCTCTCCGCTCGTGGCTGCGGCACACGGTACGATTCACATCACACCTGTTGATTTAGACTTGACTGTCAGACAGAGACACGACAGCAGACAGCTTACGTCTCAATTCATTCATGCACTAGACTGACTGCATCTATTTAAATCTTTTCTTTGTCTTCTCAGTGTCATTGCATTTCAGCGCATTGTTTAATCTAGGATGGCAGGGAGAACCAGAGGAAGACTGTGGAGACTGCTCTTTCATAGTTCAGGAGACTTCATGGAGTCATCAATTAGGTTTCATATAAGTATCAGCTTTGTCTCAGATGCTTCTACAATATTCCTTAATAAAAAACACGAATGAGATTTTTACATTTGGCAGACGATTTTATCCAAAGCACTTTGCATTCAGTGCACACATTTGATCAGTTCATGCATTCAAAAGTCATAATTAAGACATAAAAAGTTGAAATGATAAGATACAGAGTCACAATTATGAGATAAAATTTTAAAATGATACAATTCTATATTATAAAATTATACAAATAGTAATAATAATATGGAGACTATTGATTACAAGATTTGGTATCGTTAAAGCATTTAGCCATTATCTTTTCTGACTTTCCAGAGGAGACTTTTCAAACACAAATGTAAGCAGAATTTTCCATTTAATCTTACATGCTTTGGAGAAATAATTGTGATTTTTCTGTCCTAACTAAGCACATGGATCTCAGTATAAGTTTTCAAGAAAACCCAACAGGGTGTGTGCAGATGTTGGCCGAAAACTTTCAAGCTTATAGGAGTGAAAGTGACCTGGAGCAGGGAGAGATTGATATCTGCAGTAATTTGAGTGGTTTTCTGTCCAGCGCAAGACGTGGCATGAAGTCAAGCCTCATTACAAGTATTAGTCAAACATTTATGCCTGCTGCTCGAAAGATCAAAAACAGCCACATAAACAGTCGTGTGGGAGCGATTTACTGTACATGTCTCTCCTGGAAGGCATTACTGATAATTCAACCACCATAAACAATTTAGAAAATAATACTGTCACAATGCAACAATAGCATAAACATCTCTTATACTAGTCTTTTTTTATCCGTGCATGACTGTAATCGTGCCTTCCTCCCCCGCATGCATGATGATGTCATTGCTGGCAGAGGGCGGGGGTTGTGATTATTTTGTTTATCACAGTAGATATTATTCAAATTTGAATGTATTCCTCTACACAGTAACTGTAATTGTGACCGTCACACTGGCCTTTCGAAATCGTGATTACTGAAACGCCCGAATCCGTGCAACGGTGCCAACAGTTTTGACTTTGCCAGTCGAACACAATGTCAAAGTTAATGGAATTTCAAGGAAATCCTTCAAAATCTGGATAATCTGTGATATCTAAATCTTTCTACTAAAACCACCCCAAGCGGTTATGACTTGGCAGTCAAAAGAGGAAACGGATAACAAGCAGCAAACATGTCTGGCTTTAACACCAGAGAGAAAAACCACATCTCCTGCTGGATATCACCTGTGAGATAAATGCTACTAA